CAACCAACATTCCCCCCAGTCCAAGAGGAGTAAGAGAATCCCTGTCTTTCAGGATTATCAGGATGCAGAGGTAGGAAGTATGGTCAGATAACCTCTCTCTATTCCATTCATTGCCTACACTAAATTATTCAATTTGTGCTCCACAGTTAAAAAATGTATTATTCCAAGAAACCTTCATAAAAGTATTCATACTTAATTTCAGTGGCTTTCGAGCTGGAGCTCTTAACTATAATATAGAGTATAGCACAGAAGATGGAAAGGAAGCACAGAAAAACTTTGCTAAACATGATCAGGAGGAATTAGGTCCTAGACTTTTCTCTACTCATAGGAGCAGGAAATAATCTCATGCCCCTTATTTTTAGATAGAAAATATATTTTCAAGTACATGATGATGTTATTAGCTAGAAGGCAATACTTGATTTCTCACTGAAAAAAAACTGAAAGTAAACTTGGGAGAGTCTAGTGATTTTGCAAAGCTTTAATGGTCTGTGAAAAGGAAATTGATTTTTAAAATTTTTAAATTGATATATGAGTTTTTTTAATTTGGCATTTTGTAGTCAGTATTTGTCTATGTCGTTAAAACATGTATTCACCATCAAATTGGTACTAACTGATCAACACTAAGGTGCTCACATGGTAGTAATACTCATTGGGTGCCAATCAGGTGGGGGGGGTGGAGGGGCAAACCCACAACTAATGGAAATGGGGCACACTGTATGGGGGAAAGACACACTTGTAGCCCTGGCATTTCATGTAACCAAAATGTACCCCCATAATATCCTGAATTAAAAAAAAATAAATGAAGACATAAGGAAAAGAAACTTAAAAAAAAACAAAAAGTCAATTTTACTGGCTTCAGCCAGTTCAGTCGACAATGAAGGCCATTTAGCTGGTTCCTGACAGACTCAGGACAGAGCCCAGATCTTTCCATGTTCAAAGCTCTTTCCTTCACTCCGTAATAATCTCATTGACGCTTGAGTAGGATGTATAAGAGCATAGAGTTTCCTCAGTAGATATTGTGGGTCTATTATTGTTGCTCAGTGTTTCGATCATGTATATTTGGTCAGTATGTTGTCTGTCTTTCCACAAGGACCCTGCCCTGGATCAAGTCAATTCATAGAACTGAGATTCTGGAAGGCTCCTAATGTTATTTAGTCCACTGGTAAAAAGCGAGTCAGTCTAGCCTGCTGCATTGATTTGGATCATGAGATAAGGAGCTTACAACATAGAAAAATACAATGAATGTGAATTTAGGGGCCAAATTACCAACATAGTATTGGAATTAGGGACATGGCCATTTGACAATAAACAGTATGTATGAAGCAAGCCTGATCTGACTGCGAAGGTCTTCCTCTCCCCAAGTCCAACTAAAACTGCTGAAACTGCTTTGGCATGCCTCACACATCCAGAAAAAAAAGTCACATTTCCTACAAAAAAAAGTTTCCCTTTAAAGAGTACTGTACATAAATTATCTAATTCATTTATTACTGGCAACTTCTTTATCATAAAGATATTTTTTGATTTGGACATGTAGTTCTTCACTAATTTTTACTTCCCGAAGGCTTTCATAGAGGGCCTTGGGCCAAAGCTAAAGAGAACTTTCCTTTCAGTCCAAGCTCTTCCAGCCTTACTTATTTTACTGTCTGAGTCACTGTGCTTCTCTGGTACTGATCTTTCTTCCATTTCAAGAAGAGAGGTCAAGCTATGTTAGTGGGTGGCACAGGCAGGCAGATCCAGGGAAGAGTATGTTTAAAGGACCCTGTTCCCAGTACAGGAACTTCCTCCTTTTTCTATTATGCATTGGTTTTTTTTTCTTTTAAGAATGTAGCTTAATTTAACAAAGAATTTGAAATCACTGGCCTACATGATCACTACTCAGTCTTCCAGAGATGAGAATTAGATTGAAAAGTAATGAAATTATAAAAATGAGTGGACTAAGCCATTCTTAGGAGTACCAAAAACTCAAAAGTAATCTCTAAGTAGATGGCTGGAGAGAATGTCTGATCAATAATAGGGTGCTGTGAGAATTATGTCAAACACAGCAAATCTGATTACTTATTGAGAGGTGACTTGGGACTGAAGATGTAATCTTTCTAATCATTGAAAACATTTTTGAGAAAAAATGCTTGAAGGAAATAATCAGCCACAATCTCATGATGACAGTCTAGTGAAGTAACTACTATGTCATAATACTAGCTGGTATAGCAACAGTAATTATCTAACAACACACAAGAAATGTCTCTTCAGTGTTTGTACACCACTTGCATAAGGACTTTAAATAGACACTAGCAGACATGCCTGTCTTAAGTGTTATCTTATGGAATGGGTTAAAAATCACTTAACCTGGAATTGTAATGAAGATGGTGAACCTAATTAGGTAGATTTTGAAAACTTAGCCATTAAATTCTTTCTGTTCTTACTTTATTTCCAAAGGTTATTTGAAATTGTGAAGCTTATTTCTTTTTTTTTTATTTCAGCATATTATGCGGGTACAGATATTTAGGTTATGTATGTTGCCCTTGCCTCCCCACTCCCCCCCAAGTCCGAGTCCCTTGGATGGTGTGCATTGCACTCTTTGTGTATGCAAATACCCGTCCCCTCCTCCCCCCTGCCCGACATCCAATAGATGTTATTCTTATATGTACACTTATGTGTTGATCAGTTAATACCAATTTGATGGTGAGTACATGTGGTGGTTGTTTTTCCATTCTTGGGATACTTGTGAAGCTTATTTCTAGAAGTGGAATTTACACCTTGACTTTCCTTAGAGTTCCTGTATTACATTTTTCCTCTTTATGCCCAGTGACTGGGTACTTGTGACTTTCAATCTCTTGGGGTAGTGGACAGTGGCATATTTTGTCATATGAGATCTCAAATATATATGTTGCCACTGGTTTACAATTTAAAGGTCTAAGAGATCAATTGTTGGTTGCTATATTTTCCTTTCTCTTTGCAATTTATTTTCAGGAAAAAAAGAAGGAATGGCAATAAAGAAGGCAACCAACATTCCCCCCAGTCCAAGAGGAGTAAGAGAATCCCTGTCTTTCAGGATTATCAGGATGCAGAGGTAGGAAGTATGGTCAGATAACCTCTCTCTATTCCATTCATTGCCTACACTAAATTATTCAATTTGTGCTCCACAGTTAAAAAATGTATTATTCCAAGAAACCTTCATAAAAGTATTCATACTTAATTTCAGTGGCTTTCGAGCTGGAGCTCTTAACTATAATATAGAGTATAGCACAGAAGATGGAAAGGAAGCACAGAAAAACTTTGCTAAACATGATCAGGAGGAATTAGGTCCTAGACTTTTCTCTACTCATAGGAGCAGGAAATAATCTCATGCCCCTTATTTTTAGATAGAAAATATATTTTCAAGTACATGATGATGTTATTAGCTAGAAGGCAATACTTGATTTCTCACTGAAAAAAAACTGAAAGTAAACTTGGGAGAGTCTAGTGATTTTGCAAAGCTTTAATGGTCTGTGAAAAGGAAATTGATTTTTAAAATTTTTAAATTGATATATAATAGTTTTATATATTTTAGGGGTACATATGATGTTTTGATACTTACATATAATGCATAATAATCAAATCAAAGTAATTAGGATATACAGCACTTCAAATATTTATCTTTTCTTTGTGTTTGAAACATTCCAATTCTTTTCTTCTGGCTATTTTGAAATATACAATAAATTTATATACTGTTAACTATAATTTCTCTACTGTACTATCGAATATTAGAACTTATTCCTTCTATTTAACTGTATTCCCATTAACCAACTTCTCTTCATCCCCTCCTTTCCCCTTCCCTTCCCAGCCTCTGGTAACCACCTTTCTAAGGAGCTTGAATTTTAACTTCAAGGGACTTTGCTTTACTGATTTGTATTCATTAGCATAATACTGCTTAAATTGAGGTATAAAGTTTTTTCTGTTAGTAAATGACTAAGTATGGCTCATTTTTCCCATTTCTGAGCACGAGGTGAAAAGATTATCTGTCCATGTCCTCCTCCTGGGATCATGTTCCAAGATCCTGGGCAGCTACTTGGATGAGTAAAATGTAGCTAGATTTAACTCATGTAATTTGCTATCTTAGGTGCTGGCCTTTTTTGTTTGGTATCTTTGCACATCTAGGAGTATTGCTGTTTTCTTTCAACCTTCCATTTTTACAAATTACACCACCACTTTTCCTATGAATCTTTCCCCTAGTTCATAGGTATAAAACTTATAGAAAGTGCAGACACAAAGACCCAAGTATTTCTGTATAAGTCTGTCTTACCTGCCAGGAATACTCATTTTATTTTTGAGATTACTGAGTAGTATAAGAAATTGAGAGTGAAAAATTACGAAGATATAAACACAAGTGGCTTACCTGGAACAGATCTCTGCCTTTTTCTCTTCCCTACTAGAATAGAAAAAGATTTTATGTCTTAATGCTAGAATTCTAGCAGAATTAAGATAAGTGAGAGAAAAACGAACCAGGAGGCCCCATATAGGTTGAAAGTTAGAGTTCTATGAATCCCTGATTTTTTTCAACCAATAAGAACTATTTCCTTGTCTGGTCACTATTTTAACTAGTATCAGTTCAGATGACAACTGGAAGATTTGATGAAATTTTTTGAAAAACATTTTTCTCTTAGGTTCTTAGTAGTTTGGGGTCATTCTCATCATCTTTTATCATGTACATTGTAAGAGAACTGCTTGGAAGACGTTTTTTGGGATGAAACGGTTGTTGAAAAAATAATGGTCACTAGATGTGTTTTCAAACTCTAGGGCAAAATGGGGATACACTGTACATTGTTCGGGTGATGGTTACACTAAAAGCCAGCATTCAACACTGCAGTATATCCATGTAAGAAAACTGCATTGTACCCCTTAAATATATACAAATAGAAAAAAAAAAGGAAAAACCCCCATGGCAAAATGGGAACCTTCTGAAATTAGCTTATTTATACTTAAAAGATGCATTCAAAATGGAGGGACAAGCTTTTCCAAAGATGGCCTAACCTGTTGCATGCATTTTCACAAGCATTGCTCCTGGTGTGTACTAAGCATCCCAATCGCTTTCATATTGCAATTGAACGCTAAAATCTCAGTTGTTATAATGAATTACAGAAAAACTTGCCCAAATATTTTTCTGCAGGTGAAGATTATCTTTTTTGTTTGTTTTTGTTTTTGTTGTTTATTCAAATGCCATTTACTGAGTCAAAACAAGGGGATTTGTGTAGATTTTGTTACATTTGTATAGATTCTATTATACATTCAATTTTTGAGCTGGAAAACAACGTAGAACTCACTGTCCGCTCCAATGTCATCTATGAGGGAAACTGAGAGCTACAGAGAGCTTAGATTATTTACCCCTCAGCTCAGAACAGTTAACACATGAATATCATTGCCTGACTAATATGGAAAGTGGTTGTCATTCAACAGCCTAATTAATTTGGTATCTTATGGTTCATATGATTCCACAATGTTTCAGTGGTATTAAGGAATGTGGGCCTGCCATTTTAAGTGCATTGGAACTTTAGGAGCACATAATTTAGGTGCTTCAATGGACTTGGTTAGGATCATCTGTTTTGCTTACTCTAGGTTTTGCAGGTGCCTTAGAGTAACATCCCATTATTATTCCAGGGATGGAATGTGTACTAGGGGTGAAGTTTTTTTTTTTTTTCCTCTTGAGGTTCACGTAAGTGAAAAGCTCCAGGCATAGGGGGATGGAGTTGAGAGGAAAACTGGGGCTTGAGAGGGTAAAATACTGGATTCATCTGCTTTTCCAATTAAGAAGAGTTATATAATTCTCTGTCATAAACAGACACACGATTTCCTGCTTGTTTTTGTGAAGACATCCCATAATAAATATTCTTCCTCATCTCTTTGGTTTCTATTTATCCACTGTTTCCTTCATTAGCCTGTAAGGAGCTCTTTCCACTCCCTAACTAATCTTGTGTCTACCTCATTTTTCTCTCAAGTACTGTGTCCTTTCTCTCCCCACTGAATTCAAACTGTAATGTGTATTAAATGCCTTTTATTTCTCACCTCCCTTCATGCAACTACTCACTAAACCCCACCTACTCCTCTGCTATACCATAGGTCGGGAACATCTGAGACTTGCTAGTAAGTTCATCAACAAACATTTACTGAGCACCCTCCATTTGTCCTGAGTGCTTGGGGTCAACTTAGGTGTCTCTGTCCTTTTCTCACTGACGTTTTTTCTGTTCTACTGCTCTGTGTATCAAGTATATCCCATTCTTTCCGTTTCCACCATCCTAATTCGGGACTGCATTGCCTCTTGCTTCATACATTGCGAAATTTCCCAGGTGGTCTTTGTGCTCTCATTCTGCCCCATTCATCTATTAGAATCATCTTCCTAAATGTAGATCTGAGCATGTATCTTATGTTCAAGTACCTGTTCCTACAGACTTCTTAGAATGCCATTTAGGCCCCTGATAATGTAGACATATCTTCTGTTGCATATTTTGTCTCCCACTAACTCTTCTCTGGGAAGCACCAGCTGCATCATATCACTAACTTTGTTTCCTCAAAAACTCTTCTTCAGCCTTCGTGTGCTCTTGTTCCCTCCATTTGTCACACGCTTCCTATTAATATTCTTCCCATGCTCCAAGGCCTAGTTCTGATGGCTTTCATTTTCAGGAGCCTCCCCTATCTCCCCAGTCAGCATTCACTGCTACATTGAATGTATTGCAATCTTGTCACTGCAGATAGCTCAATGCTGTCCTTCTCAAAGTACCGTGTTCTTTTTGACTAGGCTCAGGAACTACCTGTCGAATCCCTAAGTAGCAAAGACAAAGCACCTCCTTGTTCACAGGAGACGTGGATGTATTTGTGTGGATAGTGGTTGGGGGTCAGGACAACCTGTGCCACTTGAGAGCCTCTCAGAGGTTGGGTCCTGGCATGTGTAAGGGAGTCAAGCAGTCAGAAAGGCTCACTGGTGATCCTGATGCCTGTTCCAAAATAAAATATATAATGGCGAATCTCTGCTGGCCTCCAAGCTTCTTTGGTTAAGGGGTAAGTGTGCAGATTTCAGTATGACCCAACTAATCTAAATCCTGCCTTTTCACAGAGACTTGGACTCCAGGATTTTTGTGAAATACCTCTGTGAATTTTGCATAGTGATATATCCTTCTTGAGTCTTCATTAATGTAATTTTACTTTTCTCTGTGTGTTAATTTGCAAGGGCTTCTGTTCTTCATTTGCCTTGCCCATATAGCAGCACTAAACCTACATTGAAAATTCAGAGAACAAAGAATGAGCTTTGTAACTGTCAGGAAGGGTAAGCATTCTGATGAGAAGTTTCTGTGAGGAATCAGGAGAGTGATGAAAAGGATTTATATATTAGGGGTCTTTCTCAATCCTGAAGCATTTAAAAATCTCATTTATGCTCTGGTAATAGAATTTGCTATCTTTCTAAGATTAAGTGTAGTAGGGTAAATGCTTCTGGCTGGGCTAAGATAGCAGTTTCAAGTGTCAAAGCCATACACCGTCAAGAAGCAAACTTTTCCTCCCAATCAATCTAATGATAAAACAATTACTAAGTGGGATATCGCACGTGAAGTACATGCAGAAGGGGAAGCGTGACAAAGCCTGCGTTGCATGATATAAATTATGTTTATTCGTTAAACAGCGTTATTGGCCTAGAAAATACTAGTGTATATGACTTTGTAGACGGTCTTTGGTAGGGTAGAGGATGCTAAACACTCTTCCTAAAATCTCATTTATGGCATCACAGTTTAAATCTGTTTGAAGTCAGTGGTAACTGAATTCAAAAGCAGGAGATTTTACTTGGTCTTCTAGTAGCATTCTTTAGTTTACTTACATACGAGTAAAATGTTTCTTTTTCACAAAAGAAATATGTTTGTAGCAGATGAGTTAGGAAGTGAAGATATAAAAATAAAAGTAAAAACAAAATGATTTAAAGTCCCAACTCCCCCCCCACACGCACCCCCCCCACACACACACACACATATACAAATATGGATAGGTGTTGACACATTAAACAGAAACATTTTAAAACCATTTGAAAATCTGTACACACTGATTTGTAACCTTTTCAAATGATGTCAAAGGCATCTGTATTTATCAGTATATTTACAAATATATCATAACTGTTAATGGCAGATGAGATACTGTATGAGTGGATGGACTATAATTTACCCACTTCCTTGTTTTTAAACATTTAGTTATTTCTGGTTTTCAGCTATGAAAAAAGAGCTGATAGTATAAACAATGTGTTAATGAACATTTTATATATGTCTCTACACAATTGAATTAAAAAAACGTTCTAAATGAACCGGAAATTAGAGGTAGACCTGTTTTTTTTTCTTCATAATTATTCTGAAGAAATCCGTTTTAGCCTGTGAATTTTAATGTACTATACCTTTTCACAGCATGTCATCACTCTAGTGTTACATTATAGTGTAAAATGGATATGTTATCATTTGAGATGAAAATTTAATACATCAGAAATGATTTCTACTTCTTACCTAATTTTTCAGACAGTACCTTTAACAAAAAAAAAATGATAAGGAAAGCCAACTAACAGGAAAGAAAGTTGTGTGTGGTCGGTTTCTTACCCAATGTAATAGCTTAATAGCGTTTTGAATATTCATAACTTCACTGGTCTGTGATAGTGGAGGTTCTAGAGTTTTACCCTCAGGCCTAGGAAAATAACTTTTTTGAATTTTCTGTTTGAGTTGGCCTTGCCATTTAATCCTTAAGTCAATTTGATTGCTGTTGCTGATAACTCTCACATCTGACTTCATTTGATCCCTCCTATCTCATGGACAGTTCTTTTAATATGTATTTTCAATTGGATAAAGAGGAACAAAGGTTGTCATTTGGTATCTGTGGACAGTGTAGTCTGGGACCTAAGCTGAGTGGCTCCAAATGACCTATGGACTATGACCCTTCTTGGTTTAAGACTTTTTAATGTTACCTCTGGAAAGAAAGTTAATACTGACAGTGTCAAATACTGTAATTTAGATGAGAGTCCTCACCATCACATTTTCCTTTGAGAAACCTAACATTGCAAGATGGGGAATGCTTGAAAAGGACTCCTTTCAGAGAACGCTAAGTAGCTTCTCCAACATGACAAAGACTCTGAGTCATGTAAGTTCAATGAAAAAATAAATTCTATCACAAGGATGGACAAGCATGCACCACATGTACTCACCATCCAATTGCAACTAAATGATCAATACTAAGGTGCTCACATGGTAGTAATACTCACTGGGTGCCGGTCAGGTGGGAGGGGGTGAGGGGTGGAGGGGGCGGAGGGGGTGAGGAGGTAAACCCACAGCTAATGGAAATAGGGCACACCGTATGGGGGAAGGACATGCTTGTAGCCCTGGCTTGGGCGAGGCAAACGCATTTCATTAACCAAAATGTTTGTACCCCCATAATATCCTGAATTAAAAGTAAAAATAATAATAATGAATTATGGATTGTGGAGTAACAGAAAAAAAAAAAGACCCATGCAGAGGATAGGGTGTCTACCATCTTCTACTGACTCAACTACTTTATCTAGCTGAAGGAAATAAGTTCAATAAATCAGATTATTTGTGTGAAAAAAAATTCTTAAGTGCAAACACACACACATATTCTACCAAATGCGTAAATATGAAAGAACAATGAATGCTAGTCATCAAAAATGCAAGTAATTAACATATAACTTTGATAAAAAGTTTGTCAAATGCCTTTCAGGATATATGTGTAGTCTTGAATTGATATAGGAGGATGATATATGTCAACTATCAGAACGTAAGTACAAAATCATTATTCATGTGCATATATGTCTGTATACATGTATGTATGCATAAATGTATGTATCTAAAAATTTGTTAAGTTTATTTTAACTTGTACCAAAAATACATCTTATTTTTATGGTTATTATTTTACTGCGTCCCATAGCGTTATTTGGTGCTTTCCCGTGGAGGATGAGAACTTACTTCTCTGATGCAGTTATTGGAATAAATGGTATAAGCAGGAGCAGAGGATGTGTGAAGGGCTTTGGAATTAGAAGGCCTGTGTTTGAATCCTCATCTGCCACTTCCTAGCTATGTGACTTTGGACAAATCAGTGATGTTGTTTCCTCGGCTGTAAAATGGGGGCTATTAATTCCAATGTAATTAGAGGTTTGTTGTGAGGATAGAATGAACTCTCCTAAGTGGCTGTTCTTTGTAAACCGGTAAGCCTAGTATTGAGTTTGATGCTGCTATTCTCCAAGGCAAGTGGGAGAAATATCATAATAGCACAACAGGAATCCTCCTTCTGTCTTTCTCCTTCCAGCCTTCAAGCAGTAGTAATGAAAGGAGCAGCAGCAGTGTTAACAGCCCAGAGAGAGCAAGTGGACCAGCAAGCAACGTAAACCAGATCGTTACCGAACCCAGCGGGAATAACCCTCAGTTCTGGCATGAGGAATATGCACTGTGCCAAGGTCCTTACTCCCGCATCAACCAGATCTTGAAGGAGGCTCACTTCAATAGCCTACGGCAGCGAGGACAATCTCCAGCGTAATGAACTAGGAGCTCCTTATTCCAACCTAAAATTTGTTTATAAAAGCAAGTGCATACATGCAAAAGTCTGTTGGCTTTCAGTCCATATGTTAAATAACCGGCGAATGGGCAATTGTTTACTTGAGGTTGGGCTGCACTGTTGCAATTTCAAAGGGGCTGTGAAGAAATTTTTATGGGATTGTGTTCAAGTTGGGTGTCCAGTTCACATTAAGGTAGCAATATGAGGAAACCTCATGAGTGCGCTGAATCCATAGTAAGTCTGATTCAGATTAATTTCCTAATCTGTGAATTAGAAACTCCATGTCAAACATCTTTTTACAATGCAAGTCTTCATTTTTAAAAATTCAGTAGGCTGGCAAAGAGTATGTGATTTTCATAAACACAAACAGCAGACCAAAAAAAAAAAAAAAAAACCACACCCCAAAACTTCTCAGTTAGTATTCCAAAGTATAAGAAAATTACTTTCACTCTTGCACCCAAAGAACTATCATACCCCCACTCAGAAGGGAGAAGTTCTGTTGAAATTGCTCTCTAGTTGTCATGGGAACAATTGGCCCTAGTTTACTCTGTGAATGTGAAAACCTCTCTCCAAGCTTTGTATTTCCAGGGAGAATGTTTCTAAGCCTCTTGTATCCTCAGATACCTCCTGTATCATTAATCCTTCAGAGTGTGTTCTTTAGACTTAGTAGAAAGCACTACACAATTCCATCAGAGAAGAAGTACATGATAGCGTTTTGTCGTAAAGACAAATTTATTACATCAATGGCCTATGTAGTCTCACGTACAATTCCATCTGTTATGGCTAGAGTTGATGCCAATAAAGTGTAAGCTATTAGAATTGATGTCTGAAATAATAGGAATTGTGGGACTGTGTCGACCAACTGTCCACTTTATGCAACAAGGACCCTTTCACAGAGATTAGGAGGCCAGCTTCCATCATTAAAATTGCAAAGATTAGTGTGGCTTACAAGCAGTGAGCTGAGATGACGTTAGAAGAAACAAGCAGTATAGTTTATTTGGAGATGGATGTGTCACCATGTTTTAGTCACACCGAAGAGCCAACCAGATTTTAATAGTGATTTCATAGTTGTGCCTGCTTCCTCTGTGCTGAGCTGTGTGAAGAAGGAACCAGGATGCATCAGGTTGTCTGTCCTGGAGCACACGAGGGGCACAACTTGCCACTAGATTGAAAGGAAGGTGCCTTAGAGTCTAACAGTCCTCTCCTGCCTGCTCACATTCTCTCTTCCCTATACTGCGAAGTCCACAAAGGACAGACTAGCAGGTCTGAGAACCATGGCTAGCTCTACAGAGAGCTTTGTGACATTTGGCAAGATTTGGAAAAGACATAAAGTTACATGTTGACTGAAAGAAGAATGAAATTTTATGTCTTTTCCAACATTCGAAAATGAAAACTATCCCAGAAAAAGGAGAAAACACACGTGCGCCCATTCACCTCACTTCCATGATTGTTTCCTTTAGTATGTATAGAATTTTAAGATCAGGTACTTGTACAGGAATTTTAGTGTTATGGGGAAAACGTCACAGCACCACTATCCCCAAACTTAGGAGGCAGGTAGGCATGGGTCAATTATTTCTCAATTAGGCAGTTTGAGTAAGAACATTTTTTCCTATGGCCAGTGTTTCCAAAGTTGGAATACCAGCTGTTGACAAGAACAAATTTGAATTCTAAAGGGCTTTATGGCAGACGCTAGAGAAAAGATACCTGGCTACCATTCCCCGTAACAATAAAGTGAACGATCAAATGCTAAGGAAGACAAGGTGCTTGAACCCTCAAACCACATGTACATAACATGACTCAGACATACCCAAGAAGAATCCTGCAGGCATCCTACTGAAACAAAGTGTATATTACCAACACAGAGTCATTGAGAAACTGAGAAATCAAATTTCCTTTCATTCCCCACCCACTTAAAGATATGAAAGATGAAACTATCATTATGACAAAACATTATGTTTTTTGAGATAAGTACGATCTTGGTCCAGGGTGGTCAGTAAGTACAACATGTGATCTCCATCCTGTCTTCTGCAGACTCTCTAAACCTACTCATGGATAAACCAGTTTATGTCCTTTGGTTCTGAAATAAAACTCAGTACTTCACGGCAAGGAAGGAACCCAGCCCCTCAAAGCTAAGTATCTCCGTTGTGAAGGACAAGTCTTTTCAAGGAATATCAGGAGAAGGAAAAAGAGACTTCTCTGGATTTTTTTCAAAAACTAGGAGCTTGCAGAAGGGGAGCCAGGTTAAATCAAGAGATGAGATTGGATTCTGTCTTAGAAATGTGACTGAAGAGAATATAAATCAAGGTGGAATGCTTCACCAAGGGTGAGGTGGGGATGGTGCTTGGGGAGAGGAACTGCCCTTAAATGCGAGCCCACCAGGTGAATTTCTGACAGTAACCCCCGAGGTAAGTGTGGTGTGGGCTCTCCATTTCACAGTAGAGAAGAGGGAGGCTGACAGTGAGTCATCCACATGACCTCATCTGATTGGGAAGCAATCGAGAGGGGTTACTAATTTGCTGAAAGCACACAGTGGCCAAGCAGCGGTGCCAGGGCTGAACACCTGATCTCTTCCTCTTGGGAACAGGCCACCTTTCTTCTGTTATCAAGCTGCTTTTATAGTGATGACCAGGTTGACCCTCAGAGCTGGAGCTGGAGATGGCTACTAATTGGGCATTTTTATAGGACCTGACATCTGGCATCCAGGCTGAGTGATCACAGACAATTGAACTCAAAAGTGGACTATCTATACTCAGAAAAAAAGCCAAGTTTGTGTGTGTGTGTGTGTGTGTGTGTGTGTGTGTGT